TGGAGACCTGGGAGCTGAAATGGTGGTTGCAAGCTGTGGTACCTCCTGTTCCTGAAGAGGAGCGAATGGCCAGGGTCTGAACTGGGGGAGGGGGAAGTTGACAGGAAGCTCACCTGGGGAAGGGGGTTGAGATCAAAGAGGAATTGAGAGAGCCCAGTTGGGAGCCAAGGAGAGAAAATGGGGAAAATTAGGGTGTGGTGAGAGGGAGGGGATTGGAAGTGAAATATTTCCAACCGAAAGCCCCAGTTTGAGGACACCTATCAGCTGGTGGACAGTGGAGGGAATTCAAGGAGAGGAAAGGTGAAGGGGTTGCTGGGGAGGAACCACTTCCTCCTCAGAGTCTAGAAGTTGGGATGGCCATTCAGGATAGGGTGGGGATGTAGGTTTGACATGCTTGAGGGCAAAAGGGGGCAAACTGGAGTGGTGGTGACAGGGCTGTGACATCTGTGCAAGAGGGTATCCAGGAGATTGGCTGCAGTATGGGAAGCTGCCCTGAGGTTCGTGGAGTTTGCCAATTTGAGAGATAGTGGGTAAATTAAACAGAATGACCGGAAATCGACATGAATGTTGGAGCTGGAGGTACAGATTTAAGTCTGGAGGTGGTTTGAGCTCCCCATCTAAGGTGAAGAACCTGAAACCTGGAACTAACTAAAGGTTGCTGATGATAGGCAGTGAAGACACTTTAACAGATCTGATGTTACTGAAACCCAAGGAAATGGGAAATGTGAGATGAAGGGATGGGGCTATGCTGGAGGAGCTCTTTCTGAGGCCCCATCCCCTTCCAGCAGGACTTCTGAAATACCCGCAGCTTCCTCCCTCCGGGAGATTTGATCCCCCATGGCTGCCAATAATAGCATCATTGTGCTGGATAATGATGATGAAGATGAAGCAGCTGCCCAGCCAGGGCCCTCCCACCCACCTCCCAATCCGACCTCACCCCAGGCAGAAGCCCCTGGCTCCTTGGAGGTCAGTGGGGCCGGGGGCAGCAGTAGTTCTGGCGGCAAGAAATGCTACAGGTTGGAAAATGAGAAGCTGTTTGAAGAGTTCCTTGAACTGTGTAAGATGCAGACTGCAGACCACCCTGAAGTGGACCCATTCCTCTATAATCGGGAGCAGCGTGTCCACTGTCTGTTCTGGCTTCAGTGGCGTTCTGCAGCGTTCTCTCGGGTTCTGTCTCAGGCCCGGAGCTAGCCAGCTAAGCTTTATGTGTGTATCAATGAGCTCTTACCTGTTCTCAAGGCCCTCTCAGCCAAGAAGTTGAACTTGTCCCCTGCTGCCACCACCTCCAGTGAGCCCTCTGGAAATAACCCTCCCACTGACCTGCCCTCAGACCCCACAAATATTGAGACCATTGCCTCTGAGCCTCCAAGGACTCGTGGTTCCCGGCGGCAGATTGAGTGCTTGGAACAGCACTGGCTTTCTCTGTGGCAGAGATACGGAGGTTGCAGGAGAAGGCGTTGGATCTCTCAGCACTGGACGATCCCGACTCCACATATCTTCAGGAGGCTTGGTTGAAGCGTAAACTAATCTGCCTCTTTGGGTGCCTGTGTGAGCTGAAAGACTGCTCTTCACTAACAGGCCGTGTCATAGAGCAGTGCATCCTGTACCATGGAGCACGCTACCCAGAGGTTAACAGGCGCATTAAATGGCTTATCAACAAACCAGGGCCTGATACCTTCCAGAACTATGGAGAAGTGCTATGGGCTGTACAGCAGACAGCTGCTAATCACAGCCTTGGCCTCCCCAGGCAGCAGCTCCATCTCATGACCCAGAATGCCTTCTGAGATGTGGGCATCAGGCTATAGGAATGACGCCATCTTGATCTCATGTACAACTTTGGCTGCCACCTCACAGATGACTATAGGCCAGGCATTGACCCTGCGCTGTCGGATCCCACCCTAGCCTGGCACCTGTATGAAAACTGGAGCTTGGCTATGAGCCGACTGCATATTTGGAGGTTATCTCCAAATATGCGGTGATGCAAGATAAGAGTGAGGAGGATAAGAGGCAGAGAAGAAGAGCCTGACTTCCCCAAGGCATATCTTCCCACTCTGAAGATCCCCCCAGAGCCGCCTCAGATTCTGGTGAGGGTTCAGTGGTTTGGCATCCCAGGAGTGGCCTACCACCTCCAAGGCTGAAACAGATGAGGAACGTGATGATGAGGAAGTGATGGAGGCCACAGATTCTGAAGAGGAGGAGGATCTGGAACAGAAGCAGGAATGTCAGGGGGCCAGTGACGAGGAGCAAGAGGAAGCAGGCAGGGATGGAGACAAGAGCCCCTGCTCCCATAACACATCTCCTCTAAGCAGGACCTGGAACCTGGTATAGAGACACGCAAGTCTTCAAGGGAGCAGCCAAACAAAAGACTCCCACTATCCCCATCTTCACTGTCAGAGGAGCTACTGACTCTTTCCAGCACAGATGCTGAAAGCAGTGGAGAACAGTTGTCCCTGAAGGAAGAAAGTCCTGTGTCTCAGCTCTTTGAGCTAGATATTGAAGTTTTGCCCGTGGAGACCACCGCTTCCCCTAAGGAAAGGGACATTTCCTCTACCAGGAAGCAAATGGAGGTCTCCCTCTCCACTGTTCTGGAGAATGGAGCAGCCATCGTCACGTCTGCTTCCTTCAGTGGAGGTGTGTCTTCTCATACTTGGGGAGATTCCTCCCCTCCCAGGCAAGAAACCTCGGAAGGAGAAGGACACAGGATCTGGAGACAGCTACATGGAAAAGCAAGGGCAGTGCATGAGAAGAATGGGAAGATTATATGTACCCTTCCCAGCCCACCCTCACCCTTGGCATCCATAACCCCAGTTGCTGATTCCCTGACAAGGCTGGACTCTCCCAGCCATGTTCTGGTCACCAGCTCCCTCTACAGCCCTTCTCCAGGTATGCTGCCCCAAATTCCTCAATCCCAAGGCTCCAGCCTGATACTTACAAGATGAGTATGGCCACACCGTATGATCCAGAGATCATTGTGCTTTCAGACTTTGATTAACTGGTACCTCGATTTTCACCTTCCCCATCATCAGAAGGTTTTGAGGATAACATTTGGAGGATGTTGGGGAGCATATGGATGAAAAGGGAAAGGACTGAACTCATCCCTTTTGGCGGTGTTTCTTTTAAAAACACAAATGCCTAAGTTTTTCACAGACACAATAAAGTTCTTTTGTTATTGTAAAAAAAAAAAAACAAAAAAACTTATGAGTAGACATACAGTACACATACAGTAGATACATGCCTCAAACTTCTCTTCTAGTTACTTTTGTTTTAATCTTCAAGTAAAACCAATACCTTTAAAGTCTTAAAAAGCCTATGCATTATTTTAGAAGTAGTAGCACCATGTCTTAAAATTCTGCATTGTTGTGTTCAGTATTAACAGATCTTTCTTCTCTTAAGATACCAAATCTCTTTTGCTGGTCATTCAGAATGCTAGTCACTTTTCTTTGTTACTGTCTTTGAGTCATGATTATAAGAAAAAGAAAAAAAAATATATGTACAGGGAGCCCTGGTAGCATAATGGGTTGCACATTGTGCTGCTGCTTCAAGGTCAACAGTTCAAATCCACCAGCTGCTCCATGGGAGAACAATGAGGCTTGCTTCTTCTGCAAAGATTTACAACCTCGGAAAGCCTAAAGAGGATTTCTGTGAGTTGGAACTGGTGCATTGACACACTACAACTGTCACAACCCTACTTGTATACAGACACATGTATGTGTGTTAGTGTATGCATTCTTTCCTTCTCTTTCCAGTATTTGCCATAATTAGAATTTGAGGGAAAACAATTCTGTGTCCATAAAGCTGTAGAAATTGAAATGTTAAATTGTTGTTGTTAAGTGCTGTCAAGTCGGTTACAACTCTTAATGACCCTGATTAGAGTTTCCACCGAGCAGCTGGTAGGTTTGAACCACCAACATTGTGGTTAGCAGCCTAGTGTTATCCTACAGCAGTACACTGGGTGGGACTCCTCCCGTGGGACTAGTTATGTAATTTTTAAAGAAAGCATTTCATTGTTGGTTTTTTTTTTTGATAATTTTTTAAGTGCACATGTTTGTTTAAACAATAGTTATATGCTTTCGCTAGTGCCATCAACTATTTAAACAATAGATAATCATTATAAAATTCTTATCTGATTTACTATGTAGCTTCTGAACATAGTTTTCTCTTAGAAATGTTAAAAATGAGTGCATGTGGAAGGAAAACTATATCAAAAAATTTTCATTTCAGTTTGTGTTTTATAAAAGTGGAAGGTCCCTACCGAAATCGATTGATACAGTGGCAGGAACAATGGGTTTAGATGTAACAACAGATGTGAGGCTGAGCAGTGTATTGATATTGTGCATGGGGTAACTTGAGTAAGAGCTGATTGAATGGCACCTAGCAACAACAGTGTATCTCTGTTGAGTTCTAGGTGATATTGTGATGTATGTTAATTTCACATTATTGATTCTTTGTCCAAAGAATACTGTTGTTGGTTCTTTGCCCAAAGAACAGTTTAATATTTTTGTAAGCTTGGCCTAGTTTTTACAAATTCTTTTAATTTCTATTTATCCAAAAATGACCTAATTTCATCATCATATCTGATGGACAATAAGTATATTTTTATACTTGCTAGCAATGTAATTTTTAAATCATATCAGTATATTTTTAATAGTTTAAGTTGATAAATGTAAGCATATCAGTTAAATCATATTACTTCGCCATAGGATAAGCACTTGACCTCAAGGTCTGTTTGAACTGCGAGGTAAGTGTTTCAAACTCTGCAGTCACTCCTCAACCCTATATAAGGTTGCTATGTGTTGGTACTGACTTGATAGCACTTAACAACAGCAGTCTTTAGAATTAATTTTAGAACCAGCTTCCTCATGTAATTTTATAAAGCCTAACTTTTGTGGGATAAAGCACTGGACTGCAAGGTTGGTTTGAACCACAAGGTTAGTGGTTCAAACTCATCAGCCGCTCTTAGAAACCCTATACAAGATTGCTTTGAGTTGGAACCAACTTGATGACACTTAATAACAATTATTGTGTTGGGCAGTATAGTCATTTTTATTCTTTGAGAAAGCAAAATTTTATATTGTTCAACACACTTCCATTCATTTGATCAAAATTGTTTGGCAAGCTTTGATTTAAGCCCTTCTTTGTTCCTGTACATTCTAGGTTTAAGCCCTTCTTTGTTCCTGTACATTCTAGGTTTGATATCCGCTTGATGAAAGAAGGTCGCATGAAAGGACAAGCTTTCATTGGACTTCCAAATGAAAAGGCAGCAACAAAAGCCTTAAAGGAAGCTAATGGTTATGTTCTTTTTGGAAAACCGATGGTGGTTGTATCCTTTAAGTCAATCTATTTGAAGGGTATTTTGTTTTAGAAAAGTTTAGTTGAAAACTAGTATCATTTAGAAATTTGAAGAATTGAGTTTCTAACTTGAGATACCACATCCAGGGATTCAACCAACTGAGAATCAGAAACATTTTTAAGAAAGCAATTAAGTGGCCAAAAATCTCTCAAAGACTAAGAGAGATTAGAAATTGCTATTCACATGGCATCTGTATTGTATTAGGTATTATAAGTAATCTAGAGATGATTAAAAATGTAGAGGAGGATGTGCATAGGTTTATATGCAAATACTGTACCATTTTAAATAAGGAACTTGAACATCCACAGATACTGAGGGACTCCTGTATACTTCAGTAAAATTTAAACATTGTGTGCCTTATCTGAAACAGGTGACTGTTATGTAGATTTTTGTTGGAAAATGAAGGAACTAAAAGAAGCATGAGGTTAATAAAATTTCAACCAAGTCTAAAACATTTCACTTACATAGCTCAAAAGCACATATCATGTTAAATTTAAAAGACTACGTAGTTTTTAGGAACACATTTGGAGTTTTTTCATGTCAGATACAGTTCACTGTGGTTTTATTTTTTTGTGTGTGTGTGTATTTTATTATAATAAAATTAACATTTTTATTTGAAGATTTTACAAACCAGAATTTTACCACTGATCAACCATCCTGATTTTAGTAGTTAATGAATTTACAAGCTAGAAATCAGTGGGATTTATGAAGGAGTAAAGGAGTGATGGTAATAATTGTACAGAAAGGATTAATATTTTACTTCCCTCCTAAATACCTAGGTTGAAAGTGCTTAAAAACATATTAAATAGTAAGAAGACAAATAGATGTTTTAAAAACTTTATTCCTACCCTACATTAGAAGATTTTTTTGGTATATTATTTATAATAGACTTCTTTCATTTTTGTAAAAGAAACCTTAATTTAAAAAATTTTAGCAGTTTGCTCGATCTGCTAGACCAAAACAAGATTCTAAAGAAGGAAAAAGAAAATGTTAAAAATTAGTGAAGGTAAGTGTGGATGTACCATAATAAACGGGTAGGAGTATTTTGTAACATAAAATTAAGGGTGGAAGCCCAAAATCTTCAAGATTTTTCAAGAATTTATTTTTCTTTATACAGTTAATTACCATTTAACATAAATTTAGCTATAGCATAAAGCTAATATGTATAAATTAAGGAGAAATTTTTTAAGTATAATCTTTTCTTTGTCTTTGCCTTTTTTCGGTATAGAGTGAAATAGTGGTTCTTTACTTTAACATGTACTAGAATCACCTGGTGGGCTTGGTAAAACAGATTTTTGGGTTCTACTCAGAGTTTCTCAATCATTAGGTCTGCAATAGGGTCTAAAGTGAACAATCATTGTAATTTACCTGAGACTGAGGGTTTTCCTGAGAACACTGGACTCAACACATTGCTAATACCTGAGCAAGTTGATCATCCTAGATGGAGCCTGAGAATTTACATTACTAATGAGTTCCCCTTTAATAGTGAGACATCTAGTCCATGAACCACACTTTGAGAACTCTTGAGGTAAACACTTAAAGCTAAATTTTCTAAATTATAATTTGATGTTGTTGTTAAGTACTGTTGAGCTGGTTCCAACTCACAGCGACCTTGTATAAGGTTTCCTAGGAGCAGTATTTAATAGAGTGAACTATTTTGTCCTTCACACAAATAATTTTAATATCCTCTAAGTAGTTTGTGAAATAAAAGTGAAGTATTTCAAATTCTAGATCTTATGTTACAGTATTTGATTTAAGTAAGATATTGAGTGGATATATATTCCTTTTCTATTTTATTTTTGATTATGTAAATTGGAAGAACATGAAGTAAATGGACCAAAATTATTGATATTTTGCTGAAAAAATATGAGAGAATTTTACATATTGTTAATTCCCTCTGTGTAATGTTTTGAATATTTGAATTTTATTGTGTTCACACTTATATAGTCTTAAATTCTACTATCTTGAAGGAAAAACTAAAAATATTTTTTAGCATGTCATTAAAACATCTTTTATTTGTAAATATAATGCTGAAAAATAAGAAAAAATTAAACTGCGTTCTGCTGTTCTTCTTTAGAAGCATTCCTGCGTAAATACTGCTGTAATACTGTCATGCAAAGTGTATCCTTTCTTGTTGTATCCTTTTTGGGACAGTGCTTTTTAGTTTTTTTCTAGAAATGCGTTATCCATTCTCTACCCATTGATCCAGATTGAGCAATAATTTTTACATTTTATTCAAATGAAATATTTCTAAATTCATCACTGCAAATTGAACAAATCACTTGTGTTTTTTAGGTGTGTTTAATTATCTGTGTCCTTGAGTTTATATAATTTTTCCAGAGAAAGTTAGTGAATCAGGTCACTGCATTTACTTGGAGAATTATGCATATAATTTAGCACAGAAGAATGTATTCTTGCTTTTATTTGAGGATTTCCTAAACCTAATAATAACAATATACTTTCTATTTTATGGCATATCTGGTTTAGGTATTCTATACAGCTTGTAAAATTTGATCGGAAAAATAATTGTTTTCTCTTAAAAAGTACATATTTTGAAAATTAACTTAGTTTCGTGTGCATTACAAGTAAAAATAGTTGTCCTTACTTATGAAGTATTAAAATCTCCTTTGACCTAATAAGTAGAAGTACCACTTTACTCTTTCTAAAAACAAAAGGTGGAATACAACAAAAGTAACAGGGGAACGATACCATGTTGACTCCGAGTAGTTCATTAAGTGAAAAGAAATATTGGTGGGCATATAATAACAGTGATTTTCAGATTAGTTGATGTCCAGAGTCACTTAGAACAATGGTTCTCAATCTTGCTTGCACAATAATGACCAAGGGAACTTTTAAAAAAATACTGACTGGGGAGAAAACAAAAAAAAAGTTAAAAATATAATATGATGGAATTTTTGTTTAATTGATCTGGGAGCTTATCTGGATATTGGAATTTTTAAAACCTCTTGAAAGTGCAACTTAACTAAGGTTAAGAAACATGAAGGAAATATATTTTTTTAATGTATAGATTCCTGGACTCTACCCTTGAACCTTGAATCAAGATTTCTGGGAATGGGTCCCTAAAATACAATTAGAAATGGCTGTCCTTGTACTTCAAAAGACTGACCAATTTGAATATTGTTTTGTTAGCATAAAATGGTCAGGTGCCTAACTTGTAGGAAATCGATATAGGAAAATTGAGACAGCCTTTGATAATCTTTTTTTGTTGCAAATTCTGCTATTATTAGTACTATGAAAGCAATTCAAAATTCTGTTAATTATTGTCACCCTAAGAGTACGTAAAAGCAATGGATAATGAATTTGTAATTGTTCCTCTATGGAGACAGTATTTAATTTTTTAATGTCTTAAATTTGTCAAAGTTTCTGTGTAAGCTGTTTTAATTCATTGAATTTCTTACTGACATGATTCACTAATTTTCTAAATATAAATGTTTTAGCTTTTGGATATTTTAAAACTAAACAGTTTTATAATAATTTTTAATCGACTTTTATGATGTTTTAGGTTTCTTTTGAATTCCATGCCTTTCAAGTGCTTTCCAACTTTAAGGAGAAGAGATTGAACACCTGGAGGATGGAACTGTGCGTAACAGCTTGTAAAGTGTATTTAACATTAAATCTATGTGTATTTAAAGCAGTTGATTGGAGCTCTACTACATGTATTTTAATCATTTTCTGCAAATATAATAAATTATATTCTTTCCTGTAAATCATGTTCTTTAATTTTTTAAAAAATATGTTCCATGCATCTAGTGTAACTTTATCATTACATACTTCTTTTTTTGTAAGATAACTTTGTAATGGTGATGGTGATATGCCGTGGAGTTGCTTCCAACTCATAGTGACTCTGCATAGGGTTTCCAAGGCTTTAAATCTTTATGGGAGCAAAAAGCCTCATCTTTCTCCTGTGGAACTGCTGGTAGTTTTGAACTGCTGTCCTTGAGGTTAACCTGATTCATAACCACTATGCTAGCAGAGCTTCTTAACTTTATAATACTATATCTAAATTTAATTTTTTTTTAGTGAAATGAGTTTAAGCAGTATATAAATAGAAAAACTTTGGTGCTTTTAATTTTATCTTTATTATTGGTACTTTTCTGTCATGATAGCATAGAGTGACTTCCCAAAAATTCAGATCTTATAGACATTGCAATTTTTAAAACCCCTCAAAAGTGATTCTAATGTTTCAACAAGCTTGTAAAATACAGGGGAAGGATTTTTACACATAAAGCTACCTAGATTCTACTCTGGAACTAATAAATCATAATCTGTGGGAATGGAATATAGTTAGAACAGCTTCCCTTGCCATTCTATGGACTGACCAGTGTGAATTCTACTTTATGAGCATAAAATGGTCAGCCACTTAGCTGACCAGCCTAATGTCTTTAGTACCTTCTTTTTTCTCATACCATTATAAAGTGGGGAAAGTGAGAACGTTAAAGAGGGAAATTAGAAATACAAAAAAGTGAATCCTAGAGTATACAGAAGTTTAGATGACAACTAGGTAAGATGCCGCTAAAGAAGTTACAACACCTAACAACAGCATAATACCATATCCCATTAGCCCCTAGTCTTTATTCACCTTTCCTTCTGATCTGTGTAGTTTCAGTGCAAAAATTTTTGATCAGTTCTTTGTGACAGTAACACTACAGAAATAGGTAAATCACTACTTGCTTATAATGAGATTATATTTTACTAGGGAGCATAAGACATTAATATATACAAAATTTGTAATTAAAAAAACTGTATTTGTATTGCATAAGGAACAGATTATTAAATTGACCTCATCAAATTCAACAATTTGTAATTAAAAAAAACTATTGCATAAGGAACAGATTATTAAGTTGACCTCATCAAATTCAACAATTTGTAA